AGTTTTCCTTTTGAGTCAGGGTTTCACTCTGTAGCACAAGCTCACCTTGAAATTTCTATGTAGCCAAGGATGGTCTTGAACTTGCAGCAGTCTTGCTGTTTGCATGAGCTACCACACTTAGGCTATTATTTTGAGAGGTATCTTAATCTTGCAGTGATGGCACATACTTGTAATATAGCAGTAACTAAGTATAGGCAGGAAGTTGGCCATGACCTCAAAGTCAACCTCAACTACATAGCAAGTTGAAGGTCAATTTGAGCTACATGAGGTCCTGTGTCAAGAAAAAGAAATTCAATTGTATCATTGAATCAGAGGTCTAGGTCACCCCTTGGGCATGGAGATTGCATTCCAGTTCAGTCAATCTAGGAAGAGATAGTATCTGGGACAGAAAATGAGACTTTAAAAGTGAACTCTAACCTAAGAAGAGCTGTTGGACTAGGATGTCCTAAACATGGTGGGGGATTTTTTGCTGGGGACAGGGACCTATCTTTAGGCACATAGAACAGTCTGAGAACTTAGGGCATTTAGGCTTTAGTTTACAAAGGCTTGGAGGATAGCCATGTTATATCTTTCAAAATACTGTTAGAAGTTATAGTCCATTTTTTCTTTTGTTTTCTTCTAGGGCTGGGGATAGAACCCAGGGTTTCACTTGTGCCAGGCAGGAACACTACTAATGAGTCACATCTCCAGTCCCTGAAATCAGAGCTTGGTCTTAGCTGTGCTGTAGGTAGACTTTGATGAGAAGTACTGTGTTAGTGACCTTCCAGTTAAGGAAAGGCAATCTTGCCAGGTGTGATGGCATATGCCTTGGAAGCAGAGGCAGGTGGATCTCTGTGAGTTCAAGGCTAGCCTGAATTCCAGGACAGGCAGGGCTGTGTAGAAAGACTCTGCATCAAAAAGCAAGAGGGTAAACAAACAACAACAAAAGAAGGAAAGAAAGAGAAGATGAAAAAGAGAGAAAGAAAAAGAAAAGGCAATCCTCATTCCTGCCAAAACCTAGGGCAATGATGTTGAGAGACCAGCAGGGTATGGGTGGTGGTGGGGCATCTGAAGTAAAGGCATCCAGATATTTCAGGCATATCTGGGAGGTGGTACCTCTCCTGGTATCAACTTGATGCAATCTAGACTCACCTGACAAGAAGGTCTCAAAAAGGAACTGACTAGGTCTGCTTGGCTGTGAGCACATCTGTGGATCTGTGGGTATTGCTCGGTTACATTAATAGAAGTGGAGAGGCCTACACATCAGTGAGAGGTATGAGGTAAATTCCTTGGCTTTGTGTCTTGGACTGTACCTACACATCAGTGAGAGGTATGAGGTAAATTCCTTGGCTTTGTGTCTTGGACTGTACCTACACATCTGTGAGAGGTATGAGGTAAATTCCTTCGCTTTGTGTCTTGGACTGTATAAAAGTGGAGAAGGTGAGCTGAGTACAAGCATCTATGCACTCATTCTCTCTCTGCTTGACTGTGGCTGTGAGTAGCTGCTTCCAAGTTCCTGATGCTTTGACTTCCTCACCATGATGGATTGTAAGCAGGAATTAAAATTGAACCCTTTCCCCCTACATGGCTTTTGTCAGGAAACAGGAAATGAAACTGAGGTACCTGGGGACTCCTTCACAATAGAGCAGGGAGCCAGCACACTGATAACTTGGAAGGTGGGGTTCACAACCATTGTAATTTGCAATTTTGTTTTAAATGCAGCTTCCTTATACAGACATGAAAGGTGGACATTGTGGTTCTAAAAGGCACAAGAAGCCTTGTTATTTTTTCTTTTTTTTTTTTTGAGACATGGTCTTAGCATAGGTTGACTTGGAATTCACTTTATATCCAAAGGGTGACCTTGAACTTTCTGATCCTTTTGCCTCTACCTCCTGAGTGCTGGGATCATAGTTGCACACTAACACACCCTATTGTATGTGGTTCTGGAATAGGACCCAGAGTTTTGTGCAAGCCAGGCAGTCCCTCTACCAACTGAACTATATCCTCAGCCCCAAGTGCAGCCTTTTAATGAACTAACCTTCAAACTGGGCTCAATAAACTTGAGAGAAAAATAAGCGATGCACTTACTTGACTTTAGTGGAACCCCATATTTCCAGCTTCCCGCAAACTTCTGCCCATGATCTTTCTTTAGAGGCATATACTAGATTCTTTGCTTTCCACGGTCTGTTCTGCATCAGAGAAGAAAGGGCAGTTTGTAGACGCATCTTACGCACAAACATGGGTGAATCTTGAACTGCGGAGCTTCCAGGCAGGCGTAACTTTCTTAGACTAAGCAGTGGATGCTGCATTGGCACAACAGCCATCACCTCACCCTTCTTGATTGAGTCTATGGTCCTATTTGAAGACAGCATTCAGTTCTGTACAGCTTTTCTAGCTTCATGGTGCTCTTCCTTTTTATTCTAACAGCTGCTTATTTGCATAACCTGCTAAAGACATGTCCCCATCATCACACTAACTTCTTGGACGTTTTTCCTTCCTCTTTTAGATTTTATAACAAATAACAACTTTTGCCTTCAACAAAAGTGCTTCCTGCTTGAAAATTTCCATTCTCTCCCAGTTATACAAGGCTGGACTATCCTTTTAATACAGTAGTGATTATTTTTATACTTGTCCACAAGCCCTTCCTGAAGGTTCTTGTTTCATTGTGGGTCTCCTTTGGAGTTGTAGGTATACTAGAATACCTGTCAGCTCATCATTTTTTTTTTTTGGTTTTATGAGACAGGGTTTCTCTGTTTTGGAGGCTGTCGGTCCAGCCTGGCCTCAAACTCACAGAGATCCGCCTGCCTCTGCCTCCCAAGTGCTGGGATTAAAGGCGTGCGCCACCAACGCCCGGCTTCAGCTCATCATTTATAGAATGCCTATGTCTGTATTCCAGGCCCCTAGCTACTTTCTAGGCTATAAAGTAGACAGCATTTGGCTTTAGTCTTGTAAATATGTCAGGATTGCTCGAAAAGAGGAACCTCTTCCTACGGCTATTAAATGCAGCCAGGGAGTAGTCCACATTACTAAGTGATGGGGATGGGTGGCTGGTACTGGAATCCTAAGACAGTAATGAAGTATGCTGTAAAGGTCAAGGACCAGCTAGATGCCATATGCTTCTAATCCAAACACTGGAGAATTTGAAGGGGGGATCCATTTTGGGGACATCTGAGCTACATAGTGAAACCTGTCTCAAAATCACAAAGATTGGGGATGTAGTTCAATTTTAGAGCTACCTCCAAACCCTTAACTAGTAAATGCAAGGTCCTGGATTTGATCCCCAAGGTCCAGGCAAACAAGTAGACAAAGTTAAGTAATTGAAATTAAATTAGGTCAGATTTTTTTCTAGTCTACCATAGGGGGTTTTATTTTATCATTTATTTTTTTTGGGGGGGGTTCCGAGACAGGGTTTCTCTGTGGCTTTGGAGGCTGTTCCAGAACTAGCTCTTGTAAACCAGGCTGGCCTCGAACTCAGAGATCTGCCTGCCTCTGCCTCACGAGTGCTGAGATTAAAGGTGTGTTCCAGCACCGCCCGGCTTAAAGGGGGGTTTTGATGTTGTTGTGTAAGAGTATACAGGTAATAGGAAATTATTAATAATTCATTATTTTAAATGAATATATTTCTCACAGCACTAACGTTTTGCTTTGACATTGTTTCAGAGCTGGATCTTGTCGCATGCTAGGCCAGGGCTCTACCACTGAATTACACCTCTATTCCTTTATAGCATTTCCTTCCATTGAAATCTTAGAGGGTAGAGCCAGTGGGATGGTTCGGCGGGTAAAGGCGCTGTGCCTGGCAAGTCTGGCGACGCGAGTTTAATCACTGGAAACCACATAGAAGTGGAGGGAGAGAACTGTATGATACCACGAAGTTCATGACCTCCACACTAGTGCGTGGCTCCTGAATGTTCATATCCACACACGCGTACACACTAATATTAATAATAACATCTTTGAGGCTGTGCTATGTCTCTTAGTGAAGTTCTGGAAAGGCACTTTAAGTCTGTAGGTGCGGAGAACACAAAGGAAAAGAGACATGTTCCCCTTTCCTTTGTGTGCTGTACAGCTCCTGACCTATTGTGTTTTGTTGAAGAAGTCTGAAGATGTAATACTTCTTTCTAAAAGTGCAAGGAAAGGTCCATCACTTCCTGTTCCCTACCCAGCTCTAGAGCACACCTCAGGCTCCTTTTGTCTTCTGAAAATAAAAGGAGGGTTAGAGCGCAGGGTTTTCTAGGCACTAAACCCGGGGCGCTTACAAGCTTCTGTGGTCGCAGCAGTATAAGCAGCTTTTGTAAAACAGATGTTCACCAAAATAAGGGTGCGCGAGAACAGGGACCCATGGAGCAGACTCAGGGCAGCGCACAGGTGGGGGCAGCTGCTGGTCTGGAGTCGTGGGTGCCTGTTTTCTGCAGGTGCCGCCTCCTCGCCTTGGTTTCCAAGAGGGCAGGAACCGCGCGTTGCGGGGTGTAGGACTTGACTCCTGGAACACCTCAAATGTTATTCCAGGTAGCAGACACCGATCTTGTCAAGTGTCTACACATGGCCCAGCCGAAGACAAGCAGCATTGATACCAACCACCGCCCGCGAAGGGAGCAAGAGAGGGCTTGGGACGCTAGAGGGTTGGCCCGACTGGGTTCGGTCCTGCTGTTTTACAATGATTGCTTCCTCAGCCCGCTCATCATCCATGTTCCCTATTGTGATTGGGTCTTCTTCATGCCAATCGGTTCCGCCGCGCTGACCTCCATTGGCCCTCTACCTAGGCCCCGCCCCATGAGCTGGGCACGGGCAGTGGGGCGCCCGGGAGAAAACCCAGCTTGCTTGGGTTTGCGGGGGGAGGCGGTGGTGGCTCTGGAGAAGGAAGAGGAGTGGGGCGGGAGGAGGCAGCGACGGCGATCTGGCCAGGGTGATGGTACAGGTGCCAGGGCCCGGCGCGGAGCTGCCGCGCTGAAGGGCGACGGGTCCGGAGTCCGCAGCGCCGCCGCGTCGCTCCCGGGGACGGGCGAGCGGGCGGGAAGATGCTGAGCAGGTTGATGAGCGGCAGCAGCAGGAGTCTGGAGCGCGAGTACAGCTGCACCGTGCGGCTGCTGGACGACAGCGAGTACACCTGCACCATCCAGGTCAGCGCCGCGCCGCCCGCCCGCCCGCTCGCGGGATCCCGCTCCCCAGACTCGGCCAAGTTGGCGGGGGTCGCCGCCCGGGGTCGCCCAGCTCAAGCCCCGGCGCTGCGCTTTGTCCGCCCAGCAGCCGCACCGCCCAGCGTGCGGCAGGCATCCCTGCCCGAGCTCAGCCGGGGGCTGGTACCACGCGCTGCGTGCCCCTGCGGGGTCCCGCACCCACAACTCCTCTGCTCGGCGCCCTCCCGGCGGAGGACCCCAGGTCTTGGCTCCTCCAGCCCGCGGATAGGCAGCACCTTGGGCGGACGTCCGGAGCTAGGCGGGCAGGGCTGGAGATGCCTGCCCGGATCGCGCCGTCGGGACGCGGGCTGAGGTTCTCGGGCCCCGCCAGGCCCTCCAGCTAGCCTTTATCTCCCTGGTTAGAAGGATAAAGGTGTATGTCATAATTTCTCTTGAGCGTTTGTGAGTCAGACGGGAACGCGTAGCCCATGCAGAGTGGCCTATTGAAGGCGCCCAGCCCTCTGTGATTTGAGGGTTTAGCTCCCTTTCTCGTCTTTTGATCCCCAAATCTCAACGTGTTGGTTATTTCTGGGGGTGGGGGGACGTGAGGCAAAGATTTAGCAACAAGTCCCAGCGATTTGGAGGTTGGCAGTGGCTGGAAAGAACCGGAGACTTACGGAAAAGCCAACAATGCAATAATGCCGCACAGAATTTCTTTCAGAACCTGGCGTTTTGAAAGGTTTTTGTTTGTTTGTTTGTTTTTGCAAACCCTGGCTTTTGTCCCTTCACTACTGCTGTGTGGTGCGTCAGGAGTCATATAGTGTTTTCCCCAGGAATGCAGTCTCTCCTTTATAAAGTCAGAGACTGAAAGCGCCGACAATGGTCTCGTGTTTAATTCTTCTACCAGAGGACCAACCCTGCGCTTACTGCCAGAAACTGTTCTTTGTGGAGAAGCAAATTGAGTTGGACCCGGGAGGGTCTCACCTGATCCCTTTCATTTCCCATAAGTATCTGGAGGATACTTCTAGGCTCAGATGTGACAGAAACTACCTGCCTAGACCCTAACCCCAGAATGTCCGTCCGTCCATCCATCCATCATCCATCTATCTTGCTGACAGTGCCCAATAGCATAAAACAGACGAGTGAGAAAGGCGCTCCAGTGTCTGAGAGCAGCTGCTTAATGCTGACTATGCTCAGCCTGCCCCCCCAGCTCCCCCTCCCCACCCCTGAGCTTAAGTGCTGACTTCTGCCAAAGATCCACGAGAGTAGAGAGAGAGCACAGACTACTTAATACAGATTAAACGCCCATAAAGATGCTAGCCATTAAGTGAAAGGGTTTTTGTAATTGACTATGGTGGAGGGAGGGTATGTATTATTTCCCAACTCGATGGCGTGCTACTTTTTGTTTCTATGGTGCCATTGTGTCTATGTACAGCTTTCTCCTTGTTTTGTTTTAATGGAGGAGGAGAAAACATGGAATTGACACCTTCGCAGTTTGAGTACATTGTCAAGAGCTTTTAAAGTCTTTATCCTTTTGTTTAAAAATTTAACAAATGTGTACAATAGCCTGCCGATGGCAGTGTGAGGTTTAGACTTCATAAATCTTAAGAATACTTTTGTGGTATATAGTGACAAAATTTCTCCAGTAGATCATTAACTTTTGCCAAGGTATAGAGTACAAAGGAAACATCACTGCTCTAAAAATGTTTATAACCTTCTGGTTTTAGGTATCAGGAAAGGCAGCTTTTGATTCTCCCTTGCCCTCAGAACTGTAGCTGTGGATGGTTCTTATTGTCATAGAGAAAAAATATTTTAAAGTTAAACTGGACTTATTGGAGTAATGTTTACTATAGTCTGTTTGTGTTTACTTTTTGTTGTTCTTATTTTATAATTTAATGTTATAAAAATTAGTCCTGGCTCCCATACACAGTCTAGATGTGTTAATCTATGTACATAGTGATTTCTGATGTAGACTCTAAAACAGAGGAATTGTAGTATATTTGTCATTTTTTACATCATTATGTAGATAGTGTTTTGCTTTTGTGTTTGTCCATATGAGAAAAGGTTTTAAAAAAGCAATTATCTATTTTTTATTAATAGCTTTTTAAACAAAGCATTTGGAGATTGAACTTTTCTTACCAACTTTCCTGTTTTATATTCTGTGTGTGTGTGTGTGTGTGTGTGTATGCATGTGTGTCTCTGTGTGTGCACATGTGCTTACTTGTTAAACATTTGGCACAGTTTTAGCATGGAAAGGAGGGTTAGATTTCTTACTTAGCTAAGCATTATTTCCAATACTTTAAGAATGGCAGTATTGCATATTTTAAATCTTTAGGTGATGATTTGAACCCCTTTTTTTCTTGAAGTGTTATATTTTTTCATTTTGATACGGTGTCTATTTTAGAAATATTCTTATGGCTTTTAAAATAGCCAGAGACCATGTGGGGCAATACAGAATTAGAAATATAGCAGTGGGTTGGTGTCATGAAAGCCATGTTTGGTAAATTCCAGTTGTACGGCAGTTCTGTCAAGGTACTGGTTTAGCGGTATTTCATAATGCAGTTCTGGTGAGCTGGTCTTCAGGATGTGATTATTAAGGTAACCAAAATGTATTTTTGCAAAGAAGGTTCTGCCAGTCTCATTCTTTTATCCTTTCTGATATGGAAATGCATCTGAGGACCAGGAGAAATGAAAGTATACATAGGAGGAGTGTAGTGTAATTGCTCCCCTGTGAAGACTGTTGTTAGCAGCCAGTTTTGAAGGTCATTGCCTCATACATCCGGATCTGATCCACATTTTTGACTCTTCTGTTTTTATATATGCAAATTTGTATTCACTTATCACATTTACTACCTGACTTTTTATTTGGGAGAAAATAGAGAGAGAGAGAGAGAAAAAGAAAAATGAAAAGAACAACCAGTATCTTTGAAGTCAACCTGGATTTAAATGTCTAGACATGTTTTGTCCTAAGGAATACACTTTTAATAGTTAATGTATTGTTTGGGACATTTTTCAGACATTTTAGTAGCAATATCTGTTGGACAAATAAGTATTTTGAAAGAGGTATAATATTTTGGGGGTGATAACTGAAAGATAAAACCACCTCAGAAATGAGTTAGGTTTTATTTGGGACACATAAAATCACAGATTAAGCAGTCAGGCTAAGCAGATTTTTCAGTTAGTGTTATAAATAAGCTGTGTGTGCAGAGGCAGCTCTATAGAGGGGCCAGTATTTGGATTTGATTGTGGCTCGACTATCTAGTCATTTTGATACCTAGAGGGAAGGAGGGAGCAAATCAGTGGAGCCCTGACTTGCCAGGGATCTCTGCATTCACTGTAGCTCATTTCCCTCACAAATGGCGTTATGGATTGATTATACACCCATTGTACTAAATGATGAAAATGGGATGGTGGATTGGGGGGTGGACCCTGTGCTGAATGACTGATTACATGCTGGACATTCTGTTAGACACTTGGTTTGAGCCTTACAGGAAAGAGGTGGGCATTGTTGTTTCTGTTTTGTAGATGAAAAGATAGGTCCCAGAGGTCAAAGGAATTTACTTACTGTTAGTAGGTGACCGACCTTACTGTATTTAAACCAGAGTCTTTCTAATTCTTAATCTTTTTGACTCCTATTTTGACTCCTTAATTTGCTTCCTATTTTCTTACCTTAATTTTCTCATCTATACAATGGAAATATTAATGCTTATTTCATAGCAAAAAGAAAATTACTTGGGAATATTACAAACAAATGAGGAACATTTAAACACAAAGTAGAATTGGGAAATCCTTTTTTTCAAGGGAAAAATAACTCAGATCATAAGTCACCTTAAAATGATTTCTAGTTAGTCTCAATGAAGTTGTGAAATTGCAGCCTGGGGTAGTGTAACTTCTTATGAGAGCCTTTCTTTAAAATTTAGGAATGTGGGCTGATGAGCTGGCTCAGCAGGCACAGGTGCTTCCTGCCAAGGCTGATGACCTGAGTTTGAGCCCAGGAGTCCCCACGGTAGAGGGAGAGAGCCAGCTCCTACACATTGTTCTTTGATTACCCCCCATATTAATAAAATAAAGTGTACGAGTTCCCACTTCTCTCCCTCTGTCTTTGGCTTTAGGAGAATACTCATTCTCGGACTATGGATTGCATTTTCTAAGAATTTCTGCTTCCCATTTTGTAAGTGGAACCCTTGGGTTCATTAATGCAGGAGGAATGTTGGTAGAAAATTAGGATAATTTTATTCACAGAGAAAAATACAAAGCTGTTGTATTTTCATGAATATTGATTTTTAAAAAAATTACTTAACAGGTAATTATGCTGTCTCAGGATCTCTGTTACAATAGCAAGTCAGTTAGTCTCTAGCTCTTGAAATTAAGGTAACTATAAAATTAGCCTTTTGGAATTCTAAAATTACTTGTATTGCTTCTTAACTTCAGTATTAAATATTGTATAAAACTAATTAGATATTGTATAAAATATACTTGGCACAGAAGATAAATTCTGGATCTTTGACTGTCTCCTCATTCTTTCTGTTTATGGGGTGTCAGTGGCACTCGGGGGAATCCAGAGACATTCCCCACGACAGATTGCACTTATGGGTATTTGTATGAATTTGCATTCTGTTAGATGCTTGGCATGGATGTGCTAGATGAGGCAATTCAGCAAACCATGTAATAAAAGAACATGAAATTTTGACTTAACTTTATAACCCAGAGACTCATTTATTTTAGCTGTGCTATCATCATCACCACACATTAAAAATAGACTTTTGTTTGTGTGTTTGAGGTAGAGTCTTTCTGTTGTGTAGTTCCGGCTGTCCTGGAACTCACTATACAGACCAGACTGGCATTGACTTCCCAGAGATCCACCTGCCTCTACCTCCCAAGTACTAGTATTTTAGACAGGCAGCCACCACACCAGGAAAACAGACTTTTTTGTTTCAGATTTGCAGTGGTTTATGCACAGGTTTGAAATTTGTAATGCATCAGAAGCAAGACATTAATTTTTA